TGCTGATAGTGTCATCATAAAAGAAAGTGGGCATTTATGGTACATCGTGACTTGGAGGCAGATTTTCACAAAGCCATTGAAACAGTTGGAGACGTATCAGCTTTGCATCTGATCTATTATTCACCACATTCCTGGATTACAAACAAAACAAGACAAAACAAACAAAAACAATAGAAAAGCCAGTTCTTGTTCAGCAAATGTGCCCCAGCCTTGCCAATCAATTGGGCTGTCTGAGAGCCTGATCTATAAAGGCAACATAGCCTGAACTGACCAGGAAAGTCTGACATCCCAGTCTCACGTTTGTTTTCAGCAGAATGGTTAACTCTTTCCATTTAGCTTTTACTATCTGCAAAATGAGAATAGCAGTAGCTTTTTACCAAAGGAAATTGTGAGATTTGATTTGTTGATAGGTATGTGCAAAAGGACTGTGGAATCATGGATCAAAGCTGCTAAATTAAAGGAAAATATTGCTTATTTGGAGTTCTGGCAGTAAGGAATGACTGCTGAGCTGGGGAAACAGTTGAGATTCTTTGAGTATTGAAAAACTCCAGGAGAGCGCAGTATTCCCCTCCTTCTGTCTTCAGCATCTTCACCAGTAAATGTGCAGGGGTAAAGAGCATCCGCATGGTTCTTCTGCATTTTTGTTGACCCCTGCTGCTGTAAATCAAACACGCTGTCCTCCTGTTATCTTCAGATTTAGAAAACCTATTTTAATCACTTCATACAGGTACCTAATTTGAATCAGCCTGCCAAGCTGCAGGGCTCTTGTGCTTTTTTAATTGGCGTCTTTCTCGTTACATTTGAACATAGTTGTAAAGACACCGCAGAACATGAACAGAGAAAACTAAATCACCATTCCTGTTGGACTGGCAACGTGATTGTGTGTATAGCAGGGGAGGCTGGAGGAAATGAATGTGTTCTGAAGGGGACTACAATGGAGGCAACCAAGTTCAGATATGTTGGCATGAGTGTTTCAAGGTCTTGCCCATACTATCTGGCAAAGAGCTGCAGCAGAAATTTGTCTGGAATTTTTAACACCAGTATGGTATCCTTATGTTAAGCCTCAGAATCATGTAAGTTATTGCAATATATGGGATCAGGTGTTTTCACTTGGAATCAGTCAAACAACCTATCTATAATATCTATAATATCTATAATATCTATAAGATCTATAAGATCACCAAGAACCTCAAACTGTGTTACTGATCTATTCTTTCTGGATCAGCTGGAAGCTACAAGCTGGTTTACAAGAACAATTCTTGGTATTCTAGTAAAGCAGAGTCCCTGAAGGTGGTGATGAAACTGTGATGGGGTAGATATGTGGAGTACGTAAAAAATAATGTGTTAACCCATCACAAGGATGAGCCTGGTTCAGGTTCATTGAGTCAGTCTTGCTTAAATGTCTGTAGATTTTGAAAACCAGCGTTTATGAAGCTGCTGAAAGGCCAAATTCTTTCAAATGAAGCAGATCATAGCCTCAGGTGTGGTTATACAACACCTCTTCCAGTTGTGGTTGCCTATAAGATTTGTCTAAACTCACCAAGCTGGTGAGCCTGGGAACACAAAAAGGAGAGGAGAGAACAGGGCACTACAGAGCATGTTATTTGGCACTGAAGCACATTCCTTCCCTCTCAGTCTGTCATCCAGAATCTTGTCATGTACAACAAAGACTTGCACAGCCGTATCAGGTCTGAGAGACAGTTTGGCTTTCCCTGTTTTCCACTTGCTCTTGAAGATCAGCATGTTCTTAGGGCTCTGAGCTGAAAAGACAGGCTTACAGAGGAAGAAAAGCAGGAGTGTTATCTTTCAGGAGGCCTGAGGTATAGCAAGAACACAACCCAACCTCTGCTGCCCCTGTGGTATGACAGGCATGTTCTTGAGCACACACCATGTGCTATGCATGGCCAAATGCAGGCTAACTGCTTACTCTTTCCTCTTCCTGCAGGTGAACCAAGTGCATTGGCACCAACCAATACTTGAGAGGAAGAGTCATGGAAATGAGGTGATGGTGAGCAGGCTCTCTCCAAATCTGGCACTTTGAATCAAACAAATGGGCAGATACTTGCACAGACATTCTTACATCGTGAATCTCCGTTCACATGCTCCACTCTTGATTCCTTAGGTAGGCTAAATAGGTTAGGTAGGCTAAACAGCAACAGAAAATCAGGGCATGGATGGTTTGTATCCATTCAGACAGGCGCATGGGCAAGGAACCAGTTGTGCAGATCACAACTGGAGGGGTTTATCACTGAGATCAGGTAAATATTTTAGATTTTATAAAAGTTAACACTAACTGCACTTATTTCTGAATGAGGGCCAAAACTAGCTTATGTTGGAATCTACTTTGTACTTGCTTTCAAACTTGATGCTTGATGTGCACCTAAACCCACACAACTTTGGAAGGGTTTGTTTCAGGTCCCATTTTAGGTCTGGTTCTAAATGTCCCCATATCGGTATGGAATCATACTCAGTTCTGGGGTTCTTACTGAGGTTCCGAGTTCCTCAGAATATGTGGAAATGTAACCAATGTAACCTGCGATCCAGTTTAGGTATGTTTATGAAATTTCTAGAAAGTTACAGGAAGGAAGGATGCCTCCCAAATTCAAGGGTTTGGGTTTGGATCAAAGACAAATCTGAACACTGTTCAAACATAAGTGGTTCCAAATTAGTAGACATACTTCAACCTGAATGTCTGTTAATTATGAAAAGTTCAAATCTGTATTTTATAAGAACTTGGTAAATTTTGGATCTCTCTTCAGATTTTAATCTCTGAGGTGAGTAGGACCACAGAGTGAATGTTAGCTTGAATAGTAAGAATTCTGGAGTAATAAGACATTCTTACAGTATCCTCGCTTTGGAGCAAACCTAATTTTTAAAATTGGAATTCAGAGACTGTTCATATTATTTAAACTGAATAGCAGTGTCTTGTGATTTTCATCAATTGGCTTTGGTACAGACAACTCTTGATAAAGTATCTCTATTTTCCCCATAACATTCCCCATCATATAACTCTGAGATTGAAAAACAAAGCACTTCATATGTTTATGGTGCTACTTGCCCGTGGAACTACTGCCGGGTTCATTTTACAGATGGAAATACTGAGGCAGTGAGTGATCATTGGTCATTTGGCACGTCTACAGCCAGAACGAATTATATAGAGACCCACAATTAGAAAGAAAGTCTCCTGGAGCACTTTCTGCTCTCCTAACCTTACATACCCTTCAATAAGGTGAATGTGGTCATAAGTTCCAGACAAACAAATATATAATGAGGCTAAGTTTTGCTGTATTTGAAGTAACTTAACTTGTAGAGCTGTTTCCACGTACTCCAGCTGTGCATTTAGCTAAATCTTACTGAAGGAGTTGAACTAAGTCACCTAATAGAGCTTTTTGCTCTTTGTATTTTATTCTAAGGTAAGAAAGGCAGTGTTTTGATGAAGGTGTTAAAGAAAGTTAACTATTTGAAAAAAAAATTCTTCATTTTTTTCTGTTTTTACTGTGCATCTATATGAAAATGGGCTGTTTCTAAGCAAAATACAAAAATGTGTAGCAGCTAGCAATGAACAAAACTAATCGAATCCACCAGTCACCAGGCTGGTTAATATTATAAAGCCTGCGCATGAATCATGACTATATGGCCAGCCTCAGGGTACAAATCCATGAGTCTAGGGGGTTTACCTGTCTCTTTTAGTAAGTAGTCTATCCCTTTTTGATCACTACATTTTAGGCATATATTGCCTAATAATAAATGTAATAATAAAAATGCATTTGGGGAAGTAGGATGTTGTAATAGAACTTTGGATCAAAAACAGATTAGTTTTCCTTAATTTTAGCCATCCTCCAGCTCACTGCCTCACCTCGTCATGTTCTGTAGGCTCCCTCCTCATTTAGGGGTATGGGAAGCTGGGTGGAAGGGCTTTTTGAGGGTGCCTGTCTCTCCACCAACAACAGGGAGAGCCTACATGACTGCTTCAGATGGGATGCTTAGCTTTTAGTTGAGTGTGAGTTACTCGAGATAAATTCCCTCTTAAGCATCAAGAGATTTGGATCCTCATTTGTTTGTCCACTGATTTTCCACATCCCTGGAGGCGTTCAAGGCCAGGTTGGATGGGGCCCTGGGCAGCCTGAACTGGTGGGGGGCAGCCCTGCCTACGGCACGGCATTGAAACTGGTGGACTTCCAGGTCCCTTTCAACCAAACATTCTGTGATTCTATGACTGTGATTCTGTGAATCTATGATTCATAGCATAGCCATGGCAATATCACTTAACTTTTTTTTTTTTTTTTTTTCCTTTGGACTCAGTTTCTCCAAGTAAAATAATAATTCCCTGCTGATGAAGTTGTTGGAGAAGCTTTGTCCGAGGGTGAAATCCAGGCGCAAAACCTTGTTTTGCCACTTTCACCATAAGAATCAACAGAATTCCTGTGAGGACGTAAGTTTACGTGTGACGAGAGGCAGGGCTGGGTGAAAATTATTTTGAAAGCAGTGTAGATATGAGAGCGTATTGTAAAAATGAATGAAGATGTAGCAGCGGGTGATTGCGTGCGTTGGCTCCCCGGTCTTTTGTCTGTGCACCTTGCTCCCAGCCTTTCTCCATGCAAAGAACACGAGGAGTGGGGTGAGCGTGTGCGAAGCCAGCCCTCTATTTTAACTACCCTTGGCCTGTTTGGGAGAGCGTCGTGAGAGATTTATGCCTGCTCACGGAACACCGCGCGCTGGGTGCGTTGCACCTGTTCAGACATAAGCACGCTATTACAGATGCTGGGGAAAAGCTTCCCGATCCACGCGGGGACGTATTTGGGGAGGGGGTGTCCGATTGTTTACAGGGTCCCTCCTCTCCGAGCCCCGCCGTCCCCTATTGTCTAGGGAGCCGAGCTCCGCGCCCGGCCCCGCCGCGCACCTCCCTGCCCGCAGCGAGCGGAGCCGGCGGGCGGCGGGGAGGAAGGTGCGGCGGGGCCGCCCCGGAGCCCAACCTGTTGCTGCGGCGGCCGAGCGGGGAAGGAGGGCCGTCGGCCGCCCCGGAGGAGGGCTTTGTCTGCGCCCGGCTCCGCTCCCCCCCGCCGCCGCTCCCGCTCCCTCTGCCCGCCCGCTCTCGCTCTCGCTCTCCCTCTCGCTGTGGTTTTTGTAAGGTAGGTTGCAGCGCGTGTGTGTGTACACAACATCGAGAGCAGGAAAATGGACTCATTAGGGAGGCAGGCGGTCGGGAGCGCTCGCGCTGTAGTGCCGGGGAGACGGAGGCTATGAGGAGGCAAACTGAGGACGGGGGAACAAGGTAGGCCAGCCAACTTTTGGAAAAAAAAAGGGGGGGAGAGAGGGGGGAAAGCCCGAGCCCCGCTCCGCTGCGCCCGGCGGCACTTCTTTCTCCGGCCCCCCCACCCGGGCTTTAATTTAGAGATGCAAGTTTGGCAGAGCCCAGTGCCAGCCCGCGGCCGGGACCACCGCGCCGAGGCCTGACCCCTGGAAACGTGCTTCCCCCCTCCACTTATCTCAGGGTGTGCCCCCTACGATTCACTTTAATCACTTTCTCTTTTTTTTTCTTTTTTTTTTTTTCTTTCTTTCTTTCTTTCTTTTTTTTTTTTTCCCGATGGCGAAGGAAACAAATGCGTTTGTTTTCCAACACCGCTTCCAAGTAAATCAATATCTCGCACTCCTGTGAGCAGCCCTCCCCGCCCGGCTCGCCGCTTTCCTCCTCTGTTTATGCACTTCCATCTGTCCGTCCATATATCATCTCCTCCTTATTTACCGCTAAATGGGTTTTATTACTATTTGCCGACGACTTCTGCCCGCAGCGCCGGCGGCGGGGGTGAATGGGGACTCTTTGTTGTGTGGCTATCTGTCGGCTATAAGTTTGAAGTCCAGGCTCGTCATGCGTTAAAATAAAAGCAGAAAAGAGAAAGCGGAGAAAGCAGGTTCCACTCCTCCTGACAGGGCTTTATCCGGAGGTTTTGTTGTTTGTCTGTTTGCCTGCGGGGGCGGAGGGGGTTAATTCGGGTGATCGTACATCGACTTTTTCCTCTCGGGTATTTTTAACGTCTATTTTTCATTATTAGTATTTTTCCAGTTTCCTTTCCTGGGCAGAAAGGAGACGCAGATCCCAACTTTTGTCTCTCGGAGCTGATGTCACGTTATGGAGGCATCGCCGGGTTCGGAAGGACCCAAACTTTGGCGGAGGGAGTTGGTATCCTCAGCTGCCCCCCACCCTCCGCTCCGCGCTTCCGTCCGTGCCGGCGGGGACGGCAGGGGGAAGGGAGGGGATATTTTTTACAGCGGTGGCAAATTATGAAATCTATCGAGCCATTTTGTCCAACACGAGTAACTATTTATTTACCTTTTTTTTTTTTTTCTTTGAGCAAATATTCCTGCTTATTTGTCATTTCAAACCTTGAAGCTTTCCTCTGAATTAATCCCTATTATATTTTATTTTATTTTTGTGCTTGGGGAGGGATGTGTGATGCATTTCGTCGCCCACTGAGCACTGTCGAGTTTTGGAGCCCAGATTTACTGTGGGTTCTCAGGGCTGCTCGCAGTGATCCATTCGAAATGGTCCTTTTATGTGAGCTCCTGTCAGTGCTGGCGGAGGGCTGAGCTGCTGCTCTGCCGGTGACGGAGAGAGAGGAAAAAGGACAGAGGCAGCCGTGGAAGTGAGTTACATAAAATGTTCTGGAGAACCCGAAGTAATTATGTAAAATGGACGCTGATCAGTGGAGGTCTCTCCACAACAACAATCACCTTTTTAAAGAGAAAATAATTTATTTAATAGCGAGAGGGCTGACTTCTTAAAAAAAATAAAAATAAAAATGCATTAGGCCTTCCTCTTAGCACAAAGAAGTGCATAGAGCAGTATTCCCAACCCACCTGGGGACTGCCTCAGAGATCCTATGAAACCTTCAAATCCTTTAAAATATTTCTTAAAAATCCCTCTTTTATTTTATTTTATTATTATTATTTTTTGCAGCCAGTGCAAACTTCTGCTGCCAACAGGTTTTTGTGGCTGTTGTTGCGCTGTTTTTCTCGCTGTCCTTTAACTTGCAGCTCCCCAGTTGCAGCTGAAGTGCCTCCCCGCTGAACAAACTAAGTTAATTGAAATCCAGAGCAGCAGATCTATTCACTGGCACGACAACCGCACAAACTACTTGCTCCATTTTATCCAAAGCTTTATTCCAGGACCTGAGCGAAACTTTTCAAGGTTTTCTCTATCACTGTGCCAAGAACTGGTGGCTCGTCTCTTAGCTGGGGAATGGCATTCATTGATTGCTTCCCCCCCTCCTCCCCCCCCCCCCCCATTTTTTTTTTTCTTTCTCTTTTTTTCTTTTCTTTTCTGCTTTTCACTCAGGCTTCTACATTAATACTTTGTTGATAGAATTCCAGCGCACTCTTTGCGCTGCCTCTCCTCCCAGAGCTCAGAGCTTGAGCTCTGAAGCTGGGACGTGGGGTCCCAAAGGCACTGTGGTCACCTGCAGAGGGACAGCTGATGTGGCCCCAGGAGGGGTGGCTGTGGGTTCTCAGGGGATGCCCCCGGGGGGGGTGGCTGTGCTTTTGGGCTCCTGGTGCATCTTCTGGACTTGCGCAGGTGGGCAGCATCCCACTGGAGGGCAGCAATCCTGGCCCTGGGGGTCTCACCCTTTAGCAGAAGTCCAGCTTCACCTTAATGTTTCAAACAGCTTTTAGAATGACTGTGACGTACCTCTGCATTTTAGGATACCCCTAGGAAAGAAGCATTTGAGCGTAGAAAGAGTTGGAATAGGAGCAATGTTTTTTCTGTATGCAGCAAGGTCTCTTTAGTCTTAAAAACTTTTTCAGTAGAAGAAATCGATTTACTTTGAAATGACATATTCTAAAAAAAAAAAAAAAAAAAAATCTTCGCCCTTTTGATGGCACAAAGTCCATCTGCAAACTGGGCACAACGGCAAAGGCTGCAGCATGCTTCAGTAAACTTCAAACCAATGTGCGATGCTGGGGCTGGCACCCAGTGAATCCAAGCCTTGGGACGATGTGGTCTGCAGGGCCGGTGGCCCTGGAGCTGCCCGGCTCTGGGTGTGCATTGTGCGATGCAGAACAGACAGTGATCCAGCACCCCCACACCAAGGCAGTGTTGGTGGTGGTTTTGTGCCCCTGTGGCTGGAGTCAGCTTGGAGCGGGGCTGCGTGTGTGCTCCTGTGAGACAGAGCCAGGCAGCTGGGGCTGTGTGTGTGTCGGTTTGGGCCGCTGTTTGTTGTGGGTTTGTTGGTTGGTTGTTTTTTTTTTTTCCCCAAATGAGGCCAAAAATGGGGAATAAGGCGGTCAGATCCAAATACCAAACAAATAGCGAGCCAAATTAATTTTAATAGTGGAGGATTTTGCTTTTCTCTTACGGGAGGAAAAAAATACGGGGTTTGTTTATTTTGATAAAGGCAGTTGTAGCAATTTCCTGAGTTGGATATATCATTATTGTAAATATTGCTCATGGTTCTCCTATTTTCACATTTTCTTCATAGGCCCGGCTTATTCATAAGGGAAAACAGCTGCAGAAAATTAGAAAAATGTATTATTATTTATATAAAACTTTGATGTAAATAGGGAACAGTGTCCCCCGCTACAGATTTCTGTGGATGGCTTACAAATCCCATACAAGAAAGATTACGGTCTTAGATAAATTGTTATTTAAATCATTTCAAGAGAACCCCGTTCATTTTTGCAGGCCATATGAGTCTTTAGCAGCATGGTTTGAATAGGACTTCTGTTTAGAAATGGATAGCATGCTGTGGCCTTACAGATCTGAGCCGGTTTCACTCCTGTCCCATTTTATAGGGCCCTTTTACAGGGTGATCCGTGTGGTAAAGAGCTCCGCCTGGAAGAGATTTGTAAATGTTAATGGAAAATTAAATACTGAAATTTAACTTCAAGATACTTTGTCAGTTTGGTTTGGTTTTGTTTTTTTCTTTAGCAAAACTTTCAGGAAACCCAAGCCCTTTGTAAACGCTTTTTAAGATTTTTTTTGATGAAATAATGCACTGGAAATAGTTGTTTTTAAACAACAACTTGTTCCCTCTGTTAGGTCGGCAAGTTCAGTCCGTGCTGCAGAGAGAAAAGGATGGTAAATCAAAGTGAAACTGACTTCATTGATTGCTTGAGGGTGGCCCACGAAAATTCTGAAAGTAAACAAACAGCATCATCTATGGAAAATAAATTGGCTTTTTATTCATCTGGCCATTCCGATAATCCCAGCTCCTCGTGGTAAAGAGCAGTGCGTAACTGTGCACCGAGTTTGAAAGTATTGTGGTAATATTTGTACAGTCTTAACTTGAGCAGATTTACATGGGTTGTTCAGAATTTCAGTAAGGAGTGAATAAAGGCAAAAGCTTTCGTCTGGGACAGTTTTTGCTCTGACAGTGTTGCCTGCGTTCCTTGCTATTATTTCTCTTACAAGTTAGCAGTTGGTTCTGACAGCAGCAATCCAGTCCTCTTTAATAGGTAAGTGGCATTTTGGAATGCTTACTTCTACTTCACATTTCCACACTTGTATGGCTCAGATGTCCCGTTTCCCCATGTCCCATGAAAGCTTTTTGCCTGTCTATACTGATTGCAGCTCAGTCTGGGAGCTGCTGTGCTGGAGTGGTCACTGGGGTGGACATGACGCTGGTGAGACGCCACTGGTGGCCCCACATCTCCAGCGGGGTGGGAAGGAAACAAGCCCAGCTTCTGCCCCATACGTAGCAGCCTCCGTGTCTTGAATAGTTAAAATACAGCAGCGAGGGATTGGGCTGGTTAGATAGGGCTGCCCTTAAAAAATATGCAGTTCCTATGATGGCTGGGGTTTGGCTTTGGTGAGGCGAGGGCGTCGGGCCGCAGCCTGCCCTGTGGGGCAGATGCTCACCGTAGGAAAAAGCAAGCCTGTAACGGAGCCGGCACTAGGTGGCACTATGGAAAGAGAGGCCACGGAGTGTGCAAGCACAAAGAGCGAAATGTGGTGGTGCCAAGCAGGGGTCCCTTCCCAACAGCCCCGGGAAAGGCAGGTGTTAGGGCTGCCAGGGCTGCAGTCTGACCTCGCTTGCTCTGCTGCAACCCGGCTCTGCTCCTCAAAGCTCCTTAGCAAAAAGAGGCATTCCACAAGAAGCAAGTTCTGCCAATTCAAGCACTGGCAGTGTCTTCAGCGCTTCATTCTTAGTGCCATGCTGTACACCTTTCCTTGTGCTGTTGTGAGCACAGAACTCCATTCTCCAGCCAGTTTGCGTGAGCAGTACAAAAGCTGAGCCCAAACCAGCACGTTCTTCCTCCAGTTTGCCATTATACACA